ATAAAATTTTGCTTTTCTCATTTCTCATGTTGTTCCTGCCATCATAAATTATAACACCATCACTCAAGGCACAAGGAGGAGTTGCTTATCATCCCTCAACTGACTCACACCCTCAGCTTCTGGGTTTCAGGCACTTAAGCTCTCTCAGATAAATGCCATAGAGTATTTTAAATTCATTTCTTTCATTCTCATATACACTTCGCATACACTGAAACCCAGAGAAAGATTTCAGCTGGTTTTGCCAGGCTTTCAGTCAAACCCAAATCACTTTCAATGTCAAACCAGAAGCACACCAGGAGATTCTCAGTTAAATAAGCCAGCTCCAAAGCCAGTGTGCTCCTACATTAGCATCCCAGATTAATCACAGCTGTTCATCATGCTGCAATTCTGCCTTTAGCAGATGCAGACAGCAATTACTGTGTGAGAGCTGAAGTGCCACAGCAGACACACACCTGACTCGGGATTCTAGAAAACCTCAGCAGCAGCCCAGGAAGGAAAGCAGGATAGGTCACAGCAAGAGTGTAGCTGCCCTGAGCCAGCTGAGGAAGCAGCCTTGCTCACTTGGCTGTGCTGTGAAATGCCTGGATAGAGCACAAACGCCCTGGTGTGACCTCCCTTTCTGCAGGCCTACTGTGCTCCCTTATATGATCACCATACTTATGTAACGTGTTCTGCAACTGAAGGAGGAAAGGAAGCTGTAGATTTTTTTTTTCCAGGCTTTCTTTGGCTCTTCAGAATTCTGTAACTGAACTGCTGAGAGATGGGGTCAAATCTGTAGATACAACTACCCCTCTTCATCCCTCAGATCTGCTTTTAGGGGCCAGGAAGTCTACAGGCTTATGGGACCCAGTGAAACTTCTCCCAACACCATTATCATCAGGCTTCAAAATATTAGAGACTTGCAAACACCTTCTTCACCTCTCTGTTGCTTCAGTTTCCCAGTCTAAGTCCTATCTTTCAAGTTTATAGCAGGGCTCATAAAGGGCTTTCACATCCAGAAATATCAATGTTAAAAATATCAAATTAATGAACCTTCAGAGTTATACTCAAGTACATCCCTGTAAATGTTCAAAGCAAGGTTGGATTGAGGTCTGAACAATCTGGTCTAATGAAAAGTGTCCCTGCTTATGACAAGGTGTTGGAATTAGATTTTTAAGGTCCCTTCCAACCCAATCTATCCTACATCAAAAAAATGAGAAAGTGCATAAGGAAGCGAGAATCAGTTCAGACAACCAAGCATTTAAAGCATCAGTACAAAATTACGCTAAATCCTTGGTAATTAAAAATACTCATGAAACACTTGAATTGTATCTACAATTTGCATGAAGCTGAAACAAGGTTACATTTTCCTCAAGAATACCAACTATATTCCTTCTTCCAGCTTGCTCTATAAAGAGGAATGATTTGGCAGGTCTCTTGAGGAAAGGAGACCAAACAACTCCTTTGTTGCATTGCCATGGAAATACAAATACAAACAGAGCACCTCCTGCTTCCACAGGCTCCAGTCATTCACAGCTCAAAAGCACCATAGAGCACGAGATGTAGCAGACCCAGGTAACAGCAGAACTCAGTGGCTTCCCCCTTTCTGAAACTTTTCCTGAAGTGTAGATCATGTATGTGAGATTCAGCATGCCCTTGCTGCAATGCTGTCATTATTCTGAATTTGTTTGTGACTCTGCTTTTCTTTGTTTCAGCTGGGAATAGAAGCAGGAATACTGAAATGCCATATGAAAAGCTATGTATGTTTCCCTTCTTTTGATGAGAAATAGAAAATACCAGAAACTTCTTGAGTTTTTGTAAGGTTCTTAGCCTGGTTTTTTTTGATAATAAAGTAACTCTTTCCTTCATTAAACCACCAAGTATTTTGAGGGGTGACCAATGATCCACAACACTCAACCTTCAAGTTTTCTTCCTATTTTTACTTCTGAAGTTTTGTGGAACCATTCCAGCCTGTTTTAGCAGGCACCCTAATACCTCCTCCCTATCTGTATGCCATGAGGAGGAACTGAACCAAGTATTACATGGAAAAGTTATCAATGAGATCAAAGAGGCAAGCAGGTGAAAATCATTGTCCTAGAAATTAATTGGAATGGGACATGTTAGAAATTGTTAAAGTAAAATAAAATTGAGGAAAAAAGTGCTTTGTTAAATGCTTTCACTGAAACTACCTGCTGCTGTTTTTTAGAGACAGAAGCTCTAAACTGCCTATAACTACTCTTTATCTATATTTTTATTTTTGTAGAAGGAGGAGGAGCTGTAGTGTCACCCTACAACTAGGCAATTGGCATTCTTTTTCATATAATTTTTGCTATATATCAAACTACTGATCTTGTTCAGTCTTCAGACGTGTCCAATGCTTCAGATTAGTTGCACTCTCCCCCAGAACAGGATTATGAGTGTTCACTGTGGAAATATTAAATATTTTACATACAATGTTGCCCCCTACACAGCTGCAATCAACAGACTGTAGCTTTCTAAGAGGCTCTCCTGGGCTTTGCCTTTTTTAAACAGGCAGTTTATCTTCTGATAAGAAACAGAAAGACTTCTTTTACAGTTGTTTAATGCTATTAGAGCCTATGCACGTAGTTTCCATAACAAGCTAGGAAAAACAAGCCAAGTCTTGGCGTGGGATTTTTGTGATCTCCAGGATATAGGAACACACCTATGGTATCTTGGTGTATGAGTCATTGGGTTGCTGATGTCATGCAGTATGTACTCTTAGCTCGAGTAAGCGATAGAGAGTTCACTACAGGACAATAGCTTCTGGTACTCTGACGTATCACTTGCCTTTTGCAAAGTCATAGCCAGGTATAAAGTTACTTTAAACATATAAAAAATAACATTTAGAGACAGAAGAGGAACATTCTATTTTCCATCTGTAATGGCCTGTGACTGTAGAGCTCAGCGCAGAAAACCAAAATCCGCACTGCCATTCCTCCGTCCCTCTACCTCACTGTTGCTGGGCTTCCTGGGCACCCTGCAAACCTGCAAAGCTGTGGCGGGGTTGCCAATTTTCCTTGCTCCTCAAGGTTTTGGAAAGTGCTTTTAAATATGGCTCAGCAAACAAAGCAAAAGCCACACTCCTTAAGGGTTCACAGCATTTAAATAAGAGTCTCACGTTACTATCCAAACATGCAATGGTGTGGGTGTTGTCAGAATGTACACTCACACATCCTGACACACACAGGGTGAGGAGACAAAGCAGTTTATTTCAAGAGAAAAGGCACCAAGACATTTCTGAGCCCTTGGACAAGTGAAAATGAGCCTGTGCGGGGGTCCCCATCACAGGTGGGAACACATGCAGGGTTCCAATGGTTTGCAAGGACAGCTTTGACTGCAGCAAAGGAAGCAAAAATAAATGCAGCTGGCTACTGCTGTGAAGAGGAATTGTTTGCCTACAAACCTGTTGGACATCCTAGAACATCCATCAGCCAGCTATTCTGTGTGCATATACCATGACACATCTTTTTGAGACCAAGTCTAGTAAAATACAGTGACAATTCAGTGTCAAAGTCAGGTTTTTTCCCCTTACTTCCAATATTGTCTCTTAAACTCTCCGTCACAAGATGCAGGCCCTGCTCCCTGGGATTTCCAAAGTGATTTTTTTCTTAACCACTTCTCTCTTATCCTATGGAAAAGCAGCTTCAGCCACTCCCTTCTGGCTCATGAGGTGAATCCATTCCTGTGTCTTCTAGGTTCCCATTTTTTTCTGCAAATAATTCTTTTACCCCATTCTTTATGCTTTCACCTTCCAAAGAATTGCCACCACAGCAAGCAACCAAATTCTCATTTTCTTAATTCACTTTTTCCTTAGAAATCAGGACTAGTAGGAAGTAGTTAGAAAGAAGCCATGCACTCAGCCACATCCTAACCTGCATTCTAAGTAAAAAAAAAAAGTTATGTCATAAGAATAATCATCCTTTTCTGGATGATTTGCAAAGAAGGGGGAAATGACTAAGACTAACAAATATTCACTATAAATAATTTATCCTTGGCCATTAGATGCATGGATGGTTTGATGGAGGAGCAGAATATGTTCTTTAGAGGATCTCCAGATAACTCCTTGAATATTTATGGTTTCACAGTCTGCATAGGCCCTTTTTACTGATAGGAGATATAAAGATATTAAGAAAAATTTCTTCACCAAAAGAGTAGTCAAGCATTGAAACAATCTGCCCACTAAAATGGTGGAGACTATCCCTGGATGTATTTAAAAGATGTGCAGATATGGTATTTGGGTTTTGGCAGTGCTGGGCTGAGTGTTCAATCTTAAATGTCTTTTCCAAGCTAAACAATTCTAAGATAAATTACACAAACTGGGGATGCATTGTCAGGAAAGGATCTGAACAGATTCCCTACAGAAGAAATTAGATTTCTTGTTTTGAAAGAGAAAATAATTTAAGCAGAAAGAAACAAAGAACAAATTATACCCTGAAATGAATGGTGAGAAAGAATACATTGCTTGATCTCAGGGTAGATTTGTGGTGTTGATTTTAGATAATTGTGAAAAACAACATTAAAAACCCACACCAACAAAACAAACAAAAAGGCCCCCAACCAAACAAAAAAAAAAAAAAAAAACAACTACCAAATACAACCCCAGAATTAAAGAAAATAATCATTTTCATCACTGAATGGCTAATAATATTCTTTAGATTCTCATCTGAAATACCCTGATTATGAAAAGAAGAATACCAGCTGGGGTAGATGCAGAGAAGGCTACTGAGATGTCTGAAAAGTGAAGAGTCAATCCAAAGGGTGAAGGCCATAGAAATTATTGTACCTGTTTTCAGCAGGTTGACTAGCAAGATAAGGACTGCTGTCTGACAGTGCCAGAAGGTAAACAGGGCAGTCACAGAAGTAATCCCAGCTCATCAAAACTAGCTGTGAAGGAAGCATTGTAAGGAATCAGACAAAAATTTTTACCTAAAGGTTTATACTCTATAAAAATAATAGTAGCAGAAAACCAATTTTGTTTCAGTCTTGAGCCATTAATCAGCCAGGTGCAAATGTGTTTATTGTGATAGCAGAAAACAGACCTTGAAAATTCAGAAGTTCTCCTCTAGTTATCTTAATATTTGTTGAACTACATTTGCAAAACTGAAAAGAACATTAGCAGGATACAGAGAAAATAAAGGAATCACACTAATGCAGTTCATGTGACTTAGACAAGTGTTTAAATACAGCCAGTTGGACCCATACTGGAAGCCAGGGTTGCTCTGAGACTTGTGTGATCCTGGAATAGCTCCTTGTTGTTCGTGGATGCCTGCTGGTTCTGCTGAGCAGGTAACTCTGAGATGTGTCTCTGCTGGTGGTCACATGCAGACACCATTCTTCCACCTTCAGCCCCTTCCACCACCATAACCTTAGGCTGCTTCCCAGCAGGAGCAAGCCATCCTCCAGCAACCACAGGGTGCTTGACTCCTTTAAACTGCAGATTAATTCAGGGATTTGTTAATACTGATTTATGGTTGAGAACAAAGTGTTCGCAATTAAGTTGGCGAACACACCCATGTTCATTTTATTAGCAAAGATGGTAAGAATGCTGCAAGGCTGCATGGTTTTAAGTGCTTGAAAAAATTAGGACCACTAAATTTCAAATGTTGTAAGTAAAAACCAGAATTTTACCCACACACCATCTTTTAACTCTTTCATAATCAATTTTCTTTGGCTAATGCTTAATTAACTATTAATACACATTTCAGAGCTATAATTCTGAAACATAACCAGATATATAGATATCAGGACACATTCAGGGATCTTACTAAATCAGCTGGAGGATTCAGAAAACATATGGGAACTGCTGGTGACAACTTTCCAACAATTATTCAATACGCTCTTTTTGCACTTCTGCCAAGATCCTGATGAGTTCAAACACAAAGCCCAGGTTACATAGTAATCTATAAACCATGCAACTAGTGAATGAAAAACCATAGTGGAGTGAAATCCAGAAAAAAATAACAGTGAAATATATAACAGTGAAATACTTAGCATTAATGGGTCCTGCAGTATGACTGCAGATTCTGCAGTTAGAGAAGACCTGGAGAAAGATGACAGAAAATAGTCAGTGGAATAGCAAAACTATTAAACCTGGAAGACCTACAAAGCGTGGAACCATATGCCTTTGAAAAGCTTCAGAGAAATTATGTTTCTATTCCTTGCCAGAAGAATAAGAGCAACAAGACATTTACCTGTATCAGGAAATCCCTGATATAAATCTTGTTATGCAATTTGATCTTGGAATTTATTTCTCCAGGATGCCAGTGATGCCAGATATCTAGGTAAACTGAAATAGTAAATATATTTTTGGAAAGAGAAAAATATCCGGTGTTGTAGCAATCAATGTTAGTATTACAAAAGTATACAAAAGGGTATGAAATAATTTTTCATAGTTTATTCCCATCATCCACATTTCCTAGGGAAAAAAGTAATTCCCATCAATCAGATGAGGTTATTGCATCTTTTAAATTTTGATATTTTCTTTTCTTTATCTGGTTCTACCCATCATCAGAAAAGGCAAAGAAAGCTTTTCTCTTATACTGACAATTTCAACAGTAAAATTTCCACAGAGAGTAAGAGGAGGCAACACAGAAATATGTCAGCAGAGGAGAAGATGAATAGTATTTTTAAAGCCTATTAATTCTTCTTGCTCCACTGAAGACAAGAAAATCCTTACTATGCACTCTGCTGAGAAATAGTCCCAAGCTTTTGCTGTGTTCCAACATTACAGAATAATGAGGATATGATACACACAGCTATGAGCATTTCCCTATTAACCTTGCAGGTTTACCAAGACAGTTAATACATCAGACTCGATGGCAGTACTTGGTGATAGTAGGTCAGGCTTTTTGCCAGCATTTACCCACTAAATGCATTTTAAAAGAGTAAGAAAAGTAAGAGAAATGGCTGTCAGGTTAAAATGGATATAAATTAGAGGCACAAGTGTCTTTAAATAAAAAATCACTGGAAGAACAGTCCTCAAAGATTTTCCAGAAGACATGTATTTTAATCTATTCACTCCTTCTCTCCAATCTCAAAAAGTTATGAAGTAAGCTTGCTTGGGGCAGGACGGGTATGTTGACTGGCCGTAGGTGTGGAGTGTCCCGAGATGTCATTTGAGCTAGTGGATATTACACAGAACCCATGGAAGAAAAGTAGACACCCATCTGCAAGGGCAGTCAGAGGTCAGGCAGGGTCCTTGAGGGCATCTCACATGGCACCAGATGTGTTTGGGTGACTTAATCTGGATCCCAGGACATACAGAGTCACTGGTTTCATAGAAAAACATTAATTTATGATGTCTGAAAGTGTAGCTGAAAGTATGATCCAAAACTATGGCACAGCATAATTAAAACTCATCTGTTACCAAAAAAACAGGTAGAGAAGTATGAACACCAGTCTTGTACACTTTGCTAATGCCATACTGAGATGAGACTTTAAAACTTTAGCCTTGGTTCTGCATTAATATCTTATGCTGTTTATCAGCATAAGGATACTTCCAGTTCTTTGAAGCCTTACAGAGGAGGAGAGGAAAACAAGAATTATGGTCATGTTATTAACCTTCAGAAACCTCTATAAAAGAAATTTGTATGTATTTCCTGACAAAGAATACGTAATTCTAAAAATACAGGTTAAAGCTAAATTATACTCTCATGGAGATGTTTGTTAAAGTCCAATCAGTCAAACCTGTTATGTCCAAAGGAGATTTTTTTTAATACCTATGCCTTTTGATAGCCAGCTTAATACTTACTGAATTGATGCCCAAAAATGTTGGTCCAGGAAGGCACAAGCATCATGGATTGCAACGATATTCATCTTAAAATTCAGTACCTTTCATCTAGGAAAATATGTATCTGGGAAAGACATTATATGACCTTCCATTGACATGATTTTGCATATTCTTTTTCTCTAATAACAAAAACTGAAATCACAATCTATAGAAAACAAAGTGTTACTAAAATCTAGTTTAGGGCCAAACAATTTAATGTACAACACCTATCTCTGTATCATGTAGTCTTTGTGGCTTAGTAATCATATTCTTATCTCCCTGTTATAAAAGATACTTTCTTCTTGCTGCTATGATAAAAACCAGTACAAACAAGGAATGGAACATCCAGGGAAAATAATAAACCAACTGTACAAGGCACTAGAGCATCATGAGGCAAAAGCAAGAGAGAGGAAAAAAAAAGCGGAAATATGTATTCACTGCTGTTTTGTAAGTGTGTGTGGTTAATTGTGACAGAGGAAAGCAATTTTTTTGACAGGATTGAAGAATATTTTGAAAAGGAAAATATCTCACAAGCACAAGATAAAGAATTCCAATAGTGCAGATCAGGAGGGTCTTCAACATGAAGCTTTTTCTTGTAAAATGAGATTTCATTTTAGTTGTTTATAAGAAGTCCCATCAGTTCCATGATGCTACCAGTGTGCAGGAAATTAGTGTATAAAGACAGATAGCTAAATCTATAATCAAATACTGTGTGTGTGTGTGTGTGTGTGTGTGTGTGTGTGTGTGTGCTCACATGATGACAACACTGAAGGAATCATGAGGACTCCTGATGACAAAATTGAATAAAAGCCCATATAAAATACTGGTAACAGATGTCATCTCCTGTGAGCATCCTGATATTTTACCCTTTTCCTCACTTGACATTATAATTTTCTACAGCAGAACATAAAGCTCTCCAAATTCTAAACATATGCACTAAGAAGCAGAAGCAGCCAAGAACCAAGTCCCTATCAATAAGTAAACTTTGAGCAGAAAAGCACACTTCTCCCTGTTTTCAACCTTTCAACATGCTTATCTGGAAATGGACTTTCCCCCCTCCCTGTTTGCTAGTCTCCCCCTTCCTCCCCACCCAAGAGCTGGAAGAGTCCCTCTGATACCTGGGTACTGCTTTTTCTCGTTCAGAGCTACAAAGCTGATCTCCCATCCTACAATAATCAGCTGCACAGCAAGGAAACCAAGAAGGCCCAGTTAACCCAAGTGCACAGGGAGCATAACAAAGCACCCTGTGGCTCCTGTGGGTCTCTGCTGTCCCTCCTCTCAGGCAAGGGTAAGTTTGTTTGCCTTCACTAGCTCACCAGCCAGCATATAGCTACACTGCTGTCCTGAGGGCATTAGCCAAGAGGACGATGGCACTGTACAAAGCAACATAAAGAACTTCCCTCTCTGACTCCTGTTATTTCCAATGGAAAAGGTCAAAATATTTTTTTTTTCTTAATTTCCTCTATGAAATTTTGCCTACATGTGAGAAGACAGGAGCAGCAGGTTAGGGCTCTCCTGTCTTCTCACACTCTTCTGAGCACTGACCTTCCACCTGTCTAACAGAGCAAAGCTGCTGAATTTTTTTTTCTTAATTTCCTCTATGAAATTTTGCCTACATGTGAGAAGACAGGAGCAGCAGGTTAGGGCTCCCTGTTCTGAGCATTGATCTTCCACCTGTCTAACAGACAAAGCTGCTGAGTTCTAAGCTTGCTGAAAAGTTGCAGCTTACCTCTAAGGCTTCTGACATTACGTTCACAACCCCATACTTAATGGCACACCCTTGAAAGAACGGAACATCCTAAGCATAAATTAATCCACTTGAGGATTTCAGAAACATCGGGATAAACTCTGAGCTCAGGTTTGCTGCTCTAATCAAGGTAGTCAGACTTACCAATCATGATGTCATTATCAAAAAGCTAGATAGGCCAACAGCCAATTTACTAGAACCTCATGCTAGAAGAATAAATCTTACTTGGATACCATGAAGCTGTATAGCATTTTCCTTGCCAAAACAGCTTATGTTCACAAAACTTAAATGCTAATTACTTAAATATTAATACCTGAAAATATGTTTAGGACTTGGGAATTGCTAAGTATGCATCAAATCTCCAACAAGAAATCTTCCAACCTCCTGCAAGAAATCTTCCCTTGCCAAGTACAGGCAGATGCCTGGAATTAAAGACTCAAGGTTTCCAGTCCCACCTTCACAATGGCCTCTGTGCCTCATCTTGAGCAAACCCCATGTCCACTCACTTGTTTCTTTTGCTTGCAGTAGGTAAATTCTGTCCCAAGATTCACGGTCTTGAGGGGAATCATTTATTTGCCTCTGGCAGTGTTTTGTATGCTGGCATAAGAATCAAAAAAGAGATTTAAATAAGGCTGCTGTGATTTAGGAATAGTATTCCTCATTTTAGTGTTCGCACTAAAGCACTCCGAGCCACGCACCCCTCGCTCACTCACTCCCCCCTTTCAGTCCCCCTGCAGCAGGATGGAGAAGAGAATTGGAGGCACAAAGGGTAAAGATCACAGATTGAGATAAGAACAATTTACTGGAAAGAGCAATGGAATACGACAAACAAACAGTAACAGCAGTAATATCAGTAACAGAGGGAGCTGGCACTACCCGACCTCTCTCTTCATGCCACACTTACTCAACCAGATGGGATCCCATCCCCAGAAAATGACATGAGCTGGCTCAGAATAACCTCCAGGTCCTGGCCATGTCCCCTCCTGGCTACTGCAAAAACTAACCTTGTCCTGATACGAACAGATATGACAGACCTGATACAAACAGACCTGATAGGAACAGATATGAACCTCTAACATATGCACCCAGGACAAAGAGGATGACAAAACCAGCCCTCCTCACCTCAACACATCTGGGTAATAAAAGAGTTGACTCCTGCTCCCAGTCAGCAAAATTATGTAACATAGCTGTCCTTTAGTCAATGCAGTTTTAGATTACCCCCTCTGGTTGGCAATATTATTGCATTTATCTTTCCACTTATCAACCAAATATCTAATCTTCAAACAGCATATCCTTTCTAGTTGAGTAACAGAATAAACAGCATAATTATTTGAAGGCAATTAAGCAAACATTGCACAACATCACCACCTGAGGCTGTCAGTCTACCAGATTCCTCATACTGTCCCAGCTAACCTAACTGACACTTGAAATAATTAGGAAATATAATGAAAGTGACTCCTGAGCTGTGGACAGGAACAAGTAAGAAGCAGCACTAGATGGGTGCATGAGATGGACAGTGACTGTGAACGTTGTGGGTCCATGTCAGTGATAGATGGAAGAGGCTAGGAGAGGATGTCACACAGGCAGGGAGCACATCATTGCTGCCAAGTCTTCCTGTGATTTTGGCAAGGGCAACCTTTGGGTTAGGTTTTCTGGTTTAAAAAATTGCCCAGTGAGCAATATTCATTTGACCTTCCTATGTTCCATCCTTATACAGGCAAAAATTTTTGAGCCTTGAGCAAAAAAAGAATCAAATTATATGTTATTGTATCTTTTGAAGCAAAATGTTTAGGAAGATTGTTGAGGAAACTAATTCTTGGTTTTATGTCAGTCAGAGCTAGGCTGTCATAAAGCACTGAGAAAAAACTGAAGTACAAGAAGGGAGAGATTACAGAACAGGCAGAATGAAAGACAAAGAACACTTTTGTATACGAAAAGACAGTAGAAAATGGTGTTTTATTTATCAAAGAGATAGGCAGATGTTCTCTTAACAGGAACAGAGGTGATATAGAATAAGATAGAAATACTCATCCCAAAGGAGTGCCATACACAACTGAGAGTCAAGCATTAACTAGGGCTGAATTTCAACATGGGGAGACAAACAAAAAAAGGCCGACTGTACTATATATAAAGGAACAGAATTTACATAAATGAATGCACAAAAATGAATTTACATAAATGAATGCACAGAAACCTAACTGATTCCTTAATCAAATACATATATCAAGCATGTCTAAAATAGTTTGATTTGTTTCCCGTTCTTTGCCTACCCATACATTCTGGTTTTCAATTTTGCTGAGTATTACTCTGAATGCAATAGAGTAAAGGGTTTTCCATTTATTTCTATTGAATGTCTTGTGATCGGAACAGAGTTTCTCTATATCAGCCAGCTTAAATATTCTTCTTTGTTACATTTGTCCTTGCCAACAGAACAGGTCAAAATGGAATGATTTTTCATCTCTTCCTTTCCCCATATTGTAATTCTGAAAATATTCAGGCAGTCGCAATTCCTAATTATTTCCTTTTATCTCCTTAGATTACTCATCTGGTACTCTTGCAATCCATTTCCTTCAAATGCCATAAGTAATTAGGTGTCCCTATGGAGTTATTTACCTGTGATTTGTGTCATTTTTTACCAAACCATATCCATTACAACTGCATTGCCCTCTCCAGGTTTTCTGCAAATTTTCTTGCTAAGGAAATGCCTAGAAGCAGCATTCCAGGAACAATAGAGTGTGAGCTGGCATAGTAACACCACACTTTTCTAGGTCCCACTCAGCTCCCCAAGCTCACACCAAAAAGGCACACGCAGTGTATCTCCCAGTGGTGCCTCTCTGCACTCTCCTGCATTGCATCTTCTCAGCCAATGCCCTTCAACTCTGATGCAAGGAAAACTTAGACCATAAATAGGTCTAAATTGGGATAAATTGATCTACTTGGGATAATTTAACACAATTGTAGACAAAAGCCTTTTCAGCAGGCTTGGTGTCAAAGCAGTGATAGTTTTACATTTGCTGTTACGCTGCAGATCTCACAGCATGTGGTTTCTCCTCCAGAAATTTGGACCTGCCTGGGTGCCAAGTTCCAGTCTCTGAGATGGATGGATGTTGCTCTTCCTCCCCAGCTGGGGTCAGCTCCCTGTGGCAGGATTTACCCCCACGCTCCCAGGTGTACATGGGGTGTGACAGCACAGCTGTCTCCCCAGTACGTCCAAGGAATGAGTTTATCATCTTCAGTCATCCCTGTGGGCTCCCACCGCGCCCTTCTGCCACCACCAGCAGCTCCCCAGCCACAGCTCATTCCATGCTGCCTTTTCTGGAAGGCACTCCCTGCCTTCTGCCAGTCTAGGAATGTCTTTTGATTCACATCTTTCAATCAATCTGGGTAAGCGTGGCTGGCGTAAGGTTGCTACTGCTCACAAACCCAAGACTTTTAACGTGTACCAAATGTTCCTGCAATATGGCTGGCCCACTCCACATTAGCATAAAAAATGCACACTGAAAACACATCCAACTGCTTTTAACATCAAAAGGAAGTTTTCCACTGATTTTTGTAAGGTCTGAACTGGGGTCTTGTGACCTTGCTACAGTGAAGTATTTACACATATGCCAGACCCTAAGTATGTGAAGAAGCCCCGTGAATTCAATATGCTTCTCAGATGCTTAAACACTTCAGTCAAGGCCTCAATGTTTATTTTAAGCTGCTGTAACAGTGCCACTGTTATATAAAATAAAATCCATATGAGAATTCCTTTGTTCCTATGAAAGAAGGAATAGGCCTTTACATTAGTATAGATACATACTTATAATGTGCCTGTTAATATACATATGTACACCTATTTACATACATATATTAGCATCTTTTCTGCTCTTCATATTCCTAAAAGTAAAGGGTTTATCTCATTCATAAAATTAATTGCAAAATGCAGCATTTGAGTCCAGATTTTTACAGTGGAAAAAAAAAATAATTTCAAATGCCCTTGTCCCAGTGCTGATGGATGCTTTCCAACCCAGGAAACTGTCACATAATAGACAAATCAAAAGCCTTAACCTGAGAAGTAGAAATATTTGCCTTGGAAACATATATACAAAAACTCACAACAACAAAAGGAAGAGAGTTGGGCAACATGGTGAAAGATTTACCTCAGAGACCATCAAAAGGAAGAATAATTTCCTTTCCTGCTTAAGGGCAATGTTTATTTAGATTAAATGTAAAAGGTGCAGTGGAAATAAACATCCTCATTATTGTCTATAGAACCTTCAAATAGACCTTCAGCTTATAATGGCATTCAGGAGACATTCTAGGTCTTCTCTCTTCATTCTTTTTCCCTCCTTTGTCTCCTTCCATTTTTTTTTTCATTTTGCTTTGATTTGGTTTTTTAATATATAATATGCAGGGTTCAGTCTAAAAATTCCCTGCTGAAATTGAGTGAATTCATGCATATACATGCTGAGCAGCTGCAATCACATGTGACTCAGACAGGGGCAATGCAGCGTTTCAACTGCAAAGTCTCCAAAAATTAAATGAGAAAAATGAGACTTTACCTTGGGGTAAAGGCTGGCAGACTAACACCGGAAGGGACAGAAACAGTGTGTCCTCAGTTCTTCTGTCTCTGATGGAAAAGACTAAATTCTTGCATTGCTTCACAGAAGAACAGATTCCTCCAGATTCACTGTAAGTTGCTTAGAGCAGTATAGAAACAGATGGTTAGGTAAATACAATTTTATCTTTACTAGCAAGTTGTTTCTGCTCTATTATAATTTTATTCTTTACAATTCATAAATAAAATTAAATCAATAACATCTGTGAACATCACTGTCCTTCCGCTCCTCTGAAATACCCCATAATCTTCCATAGCTTTCTTTATTGCTATTGAGCCTCATGTCAGGCTCTCTTGAAACTCCTAGCCCAACAGGAAATAATGTCTGGATTATAAACACTTGGGGGTTTTTACAGTGGCAGGCAGGCAGGGAGAGGACATAACACTGAAATTCAGGAGTATTAGGATTATGATAACTGTTGGACTTTGAGGAGTTTTTTGGAGTATTATTTCTCCTTCAAGTGCAAAACACCTGGGAAGACAGCCAGCCAGCAGACACAGGCTCTGGAAAGTTCAAATCATCAGAGAAGAGCAGCAATCTACCCTGCCACATCCTCTGTTAAAAACTGCCCAGGGATTTACTTCCCGTGCAAGTGGTCTGTGGATAATGCAAAGTGAAGAGCAGCTGGTGTCAGGACCTGAGAGGTTCATCAGTGGCAAAGCCAGTTCAGTACCCTCTGTCACTGGAGATGTAATCACCACAGCAGTCCAAGACCTAGCCCAGTGTTCCATCTGTGCTGTGCCATGTGTCATCTGGAACTAAGGAAGCACGAAAGCATTTCCAGAAGGTGAAATGTTGGCAGAGGCAAAGGCTGATAGGGAGATTCTGCTGTGGTTGGTGAGGTCTTGTAGTGTGGCTTAACAGGCACATTATGTTACAGCATTGCACTCATGGCTCTGCTGGGACTGTGACTTCTTAAGAGACAATTACAATTTTTTCTCTCTTCTCCATCTAGTCTCTGAAATGAGAGAGATGTGGTTAGTGTTCTGAATGCCCTGGCTCCAGCAAGAGGACATCTTTGATGGTGATGAGGTTTGGGGATAAAAGTGGAAGATGGATTAGGACA